GTTTAGGTCTGCTTCTTTTTGTGAACTTTATGTGTCTCTGTGGTTTACTTTTGGGGCATGAAAAGCTGGTTTGTCTAAGCTTCTGGTTCTCTCCTTTGATTTCATATTGGAATGGCTAGATTGCTTTTGTCTTCAGGAGTTCCCACAGAGGTGCAAATTAGATGAGGATCAGATGCTCTCAGGCTTTCTTCTAAGGTCTGGATCCCTCCAGGAACGATTTTGGCCTTGGGAATTTGGGGGTTGGACTGGCCTGGGAGCCTAGCCCAGAAAAGATGCTGGTCTAGGGCAGCTAGTGGCCATGCCACCCAGAGATGCAAAGGAAGATGGGGGTGGGAAGTGCCCCAAGGGCTCCAGGGGACTGCACTTAGGAGCTCGGTTGGTTTGGATGCAAAGGATCAGGAAGAGGAAAGGTCAGCCCCTGTGCCCAGGAAAGAGGCTGGTGGGTTGGGGAGGCCCAGGGAAGTAGAGGGAGATTAGGGCAGGGCCAGGCCCAGAATACTCCTGGGGACCAGAGAAGGAATTGGGTTGGTCTGGATGCAAAGGATCAGGAAGCAGTGGTGGTCCTCCAGGTTCTGGGGTGCCAAGACAATGAATGGGACAGGACCCAGGCTAGGAGGAAAGATGGGCAGGGGAGATGGGAGGGTGAATGAGGTAGGGGAGTCAAGGCGGAGGACATGGGTCTGTGGGTTGGAGAGAAGCCTGCGGGTCGTGCAGTCCCAGGGAAGCAGAGGGAGGTCCCAGCTCATAATTTTTAAAAGTACTAAGAAAGCAGTTTTTTTTTTTGTAAAAAATTATTTTTTAAAAATTCATTAGAAACAGTATAAAATTAAGAATATCATGGAAATATGAAATCACAGGTCAGACTAACACATCTTTGAATAAGCTCTATCCAAACTACTGTTTTCTACTTCTTAAGAGGAAATGTTTTTTATTATGTGTGGGGGGGGGGCGGGTGCTAGGGACAGAACCTGGGGCCTCATACTTGCTGAGCAAGTTCTCTGACACTGAGCTACACCCCTAGGCTTAGAAGAAACTTTAAAATTTAATTTATTTATTTTTATTTTATGTGTGTGTTTGCCTGCTTGAATGTAAATGTATTGAGTGCAATGCCCTCAGAGACCAGTAGAGGGTGGCAGGTCCCCTAGAGTGGAAGTTACAGATGGTTTGAGCCACAGTGTTGGTTCTAAGAACTGAATCTAAGTCCTCTGCAGGAATAGCCAGTGTCCTTAACCACTGAGTTGTCTTTGCAATGGAAAAGCAGAAGAATGAACAATAAATCACTAGAAACTGAGAATAAAGTCCAGGAATACAGCCTGACCTCTGACCAATTATCTTTGTGTTGTTCAAGCCAGGGTGGATTCTTAATAAGGATCAAACGGACCAGAAGGGTGCAAGACAACAGCTTCTCCCCACTTCATCCAAATCCACAAGACTGAAAAGCTGAATGAGGAAGGAGTCTGTACTGTGCAGAAAACAATACAATACTTTCACTTAGTTTTTTTTTTTAAGTGCAGCTCCTCAACAATTTCATTTAAAAGGTCATCTGTAAGAGAAGAAAAAAAAATACATGTATTTAATTCAAATGGTGATGTTTCTACATTCCCATGATAAAGATTGACCATACCATCAGGCCAGGTTTACAAACTCCAGAGACCTTGGCAGGAGCCTGGGGCCCAGCAATAGGTGCTGCCCAGAGTCTGAGTCAGGGGCAACAGGAGGGAGGCCTCTGCCTTCAACCTTCCCCCATCCCCCTCACCCCAGTGAAAGGTTCACAAGAACCTGAAACAACAAGTGTCCTTTACTTTTAGATTCTGTCTTCTGAAGCTACAGTTACTGGGTCTCACTATGACTCTGGGGACACATAGGTGTCCTATGTATTTGTCCCCTCTGTGGGCCCTGACAGCAAGATTTAAGAAGTAACAGGCAGAGGCACTGGGTGATTTCAGTGTCATATGAACTCTTTAAAACAAAATACCTAATGGAGGCTGGGCATGGTGACGCATGCCTTTAGTTCAAACACTTGGGAGGCAGAGGCAAGCAGAACACTGAGTTCGAGGCCAACCTGGTCTACATAGTGAGTTCCAGGACAGCTGGGGCTACAGGGAGACCCTGTCTCAAAAAGACCAAAAATAATAAATAAATAAATAAGTAAATAAATAAATAAATAAATAAATAAAAAAAATACAATACCTACTGATAACAATCATATGCCAAACCCTTGTTAGAAAATATGTACATTTAAGTCTTAAGGAGTAAAATCAGCACCCACCACCCAACCCAAACAGTGACAAACTGGCAAATCTTTCACAGCTCGAAGGCGTCAGTCCTCTGCTTACCTTCAGCTCAGGTTTCTGATCCTAGTCATGTACTTGTCAGGGTCAGCAGCGCTCATCACTGTAGTATAAATTGTGTAGCTGAAAATAGCAAGACAAATTATTATACGTATCACTTTCCTTAATAGTTCAAAGGGGATAAATATGAAGCCCTTCCTGTCTCTTGAGATCTAGGACAAGAATTCGAAGAGGCCCACACGTCAGAATGGTTAAAATACATATAAATCAAGACGTCAAAATGGTTTTTCCTCCTATTTTGACAAGCCGGAGGAAAGCCAAGTAGGACTTTTTAAATCGGACTCCTCAAAGCTTCCTGCTGTAGTAGTGACAGCTACCCCTAATGTGCCTCCCATTCCTGGGCCCACCTCTAGAGAGGACACTGCCTATTCAGCTTTGCTGCCATGGTGACAGGGAACCGCCAGCTTCCTGCACAGCTTCCTCCCAGGCTGAACTAAATGTCCCACAGCCCTTTACCTTAGAAAAGTGTGTGAGTTAAATCTCAGGCCAGGGAAATCCTAGCTCACAGACTGCTACTATCAAGTACACTTTAAAAAATAAAAAATAAGGGCTAGAGAGATGGCTTAGCAGTGGAGGGCATTGGCTGCCCTTGTAGAGAACCTAGATTTGATTCCCAGCACCCACATGGCTGCTGACAACCATTTGTAACTACAGTTCCAGGGGAATGTGATACTCTCTTCTGACTTCCAAGGGCATTGCATGACACGGATGCACTTACATACATGCAGGCAATATACTCATACACATAAACAATAAAAATAAGAAAATATTTTAAAAATCAAAAATAAATACATAAAGGGAGAAACACTAACAACAAGTTGCCTGTAGAAGAAGGAAGAGCCTGGGAACAGGTAGCAGAAACTCTTTGGGAAGAGAAAGGAAAGCAGTGTGCCAAAAGTTGAGTTCTAAGAGGGAATTCATGAACTCATGAAAGTTCATCGAGAGGACAGTCTCAGACTGAGGGGGTGAACACATCACTCACTGCCCACCTCCTTGTGGGTCTCCTGATTCCCTTTAGCTTTCGTTTTCTTTATGAATTTCTCACGGGAGCCGTGCTGTATGCACCTGCCCCCTTCCTCTCGCCTTGAGACTTGGTTTTGTTCGGTGCTGCGTCCATAGCACCTATAACACCTGACCACAGGAGCAAGGATCCCTGGGGAGCCGGGGTGTGCGGGGAGGTTATAACAGGCTCTGAGAAGCCATTTTTGCTTAACAACAACTAATGCTGACTCCTCACTTGGGCCCATAAAGTAACTGAAAACAGGATAAAGTTTGGCATCTCTGCCTTCATTTTGCATCTGTGTCCTTTGCTTGGGTCACCTGTTCACCTCCGCACACAGGCATGTTAATCCAGCAAGGAGTGTCTATCCAGAAATTGCTGATACCTGAACTATCTCAACCCCTTTCAAGGCTAAGGACACAAAGATATGAGTAACAGCAGCATCTTGCTGTCAGGTTTTTACAATGTCCTGATCCAGACCCCTACAAAACACCCATAAACCTGCAGTCCTTGGATTCTAGGAACAATAAAGCCTTCCAGGATAGATCAGCCCCCAAGGTGAGAGATATTATCTATGATGATCACGCTGTACCCAGAGCACAGTTATCGCCTGAGAAGCAGTCCACCTCCTCTAGCAATAAAGACTTCTTGTGACCACCTTTCAGAACAAGTTCTGCAACAGTGATCAACCAGTACCTGGGCCACGACTGCTTAATTACACATATCTCCTCCTCCACCCCAATTCTTCCTTTCTAAACAGAAAGCTCAGATCAGGACCTGAAAAATTACCTTAGGGGAGTGGTGGTGCACACCTTTAGTCCCAGCACTCGGGAGGCAGAGGCAGGTGGATCACTGTGAGTTCAAGATCAGCCTGGTCTACACAACAAGTTCCAGGCCAGCTGAAGGTACAGAGAGAGCCTGTTTCAAAAAAATGCACACATACACACAAAAAAATGACCTTAGGATCACTTGACCCTTTATTTGTTCCTCTTCCCAACATCATTAATTCTGCTTTTCAGAATTAATTTCTTGCTCCCCCGCCAGCCGATATGCTTCTCTTTAATTGGCATAGTAACACTGGTAATGTAATACCCCAAGCTCCTCCATTTTGTTTAACTGGTCAATCATCTGGTCATAAGACCACCCCTAGGAAGGCGGGCTCACTTTATGTTATGCTAAAAGGATGGGCGGAATACCTGGTGTATTAATGAGATAATGAACTTTTCCTGCCTAGAATTCCACCTAGCCCAGAACTTCCGAACCAGCTACAGTCATGTAGTCTGTGAGCCTTCCTGCTTTTCTGAATTCTTGCCTTTGCTTCTACATATCCCTTTTCTAAACATGCTTTCTTTAAGGCTGTGGGCTGCCCCTGGCATCTCATATTTCTTTACTTTCTCTAAAACTTCCTTCCCAGCCATGTGGCTGCCAGTCAGTCACATGTCCAACCCCCATGCAGGCTTTAAACCTGTATGGTTTCATGGCTTTCCTTCCTTCTCCCCTCCATCCTCCACCCCGCCAGTGTGCCTGCCCTGAGGACTTTTCTTTAAAATACTAATGAAATTGTAAAAGCTTAAATCTTGTACCAAGCGCTTTGCTTTTTGGACTTTACCTTTAAAAAGCTCCCAGCTCCTCCCATTTAGGGCAGCATTCCCTAAATTGGCTAGCTAAATAGATTCGGCTGATTTGGAACTTTTTGAGTCTGAGTGGTCTTTCCCGGTGGTCCTGAACTCCGCAACAGTAGCTGAGCCTAACTTTGGGGGCTGCTAGACCAGGGCTTTTGCTCTGAAATTCCAGTTCTTGGGAAAAAATGAACAGTTGTGTTTAAAATGCAACTTACTTATTATAAACAGGAACCACTGATAAAACCTGCATAGGAAAAAAAATTACAAAACTATTAAAGGGTCAAAGAAATACTTGTAGAATATACATAAGAATATATAACCACTAGGCCTGTGAGATGGCTCAAGGTTAAAGGTGCTTGTCACCAAGTCGGAAGACCTGAGTTTGAGCCGCAGAATCCACATGGTAGGAGAGAGCCAATTTCTACAATGTCTCCGCCCCTCACATATGCACTATGGCATTCCCTTCTCTCCAAATTAATAATTAATTAATTAAATGTTAAAGAGTATAACAAGCTAACACTTCATAGCACCTTGGTGTAGTACCTCAGAATGGTTGTTATAGATTTTTAAAGTCTTGCTTTTCCTTTAAAACAATGACACATCACAACTATGCTCATTTATTTTTTAATATGAAAAATTTAGGTGAAGATAGACACTCTAACCTGTACAGAATCAAATTCTGAAAATATTATGTGATTTTAAAAAATGTTTTCGATCATACAAAACTTTTACTGCAACATTCTGCTTGATTTCAGAGAATTTTTCATTACCATTAGGATACCAAACACCCCAAGTAAGCAGGGAATGGAGCGAGAGTTACCTGGAAAAGGGCCTCCAGGCTGAGGTTTGCCTGCCCTGTGGTGTTTAGGGCTTTGATGGCAGGTGTTCTGTAAGGACAAAGGTAAAAAGTTTGCTGGGCACTTCAGGAAATCCTGACTCTTATCAGCTGTCATTTGGAGAGGCATAACCCATGGCCCAGCCTCCCTTTCCTCAAAACAGATTCTGATTCCTGGCCATGTTCCCTGCTTCAGCTGGGTCTCACCATTCAATTGGATGACCTGGTGATCAAGGAAGTTGGAATCCTTGCTGCAGAAATGAATCACTGCCACCCAACACATGATAAAGTTTAGTGAAATATACAACTTCTCATTTTTAGGGGACCAATTTGTAATAGGACTTCCACAATTAGAAAGGACAATGTGAGTCTGGAGGGATGGCTCAGTGGTTAAGAGCACTGGATATTCTTGCAGAAGACCCGAGTTGGAATTCCAGCACCCACATGGCAGCTAACAACCTTCGTTAATTTCAGTTCTTGGGATCCGATGCCCTCGTCTGTCCTCCTTGGGTGCTGCATGACACGGTACACTTACACACATGCAGGCAATACACTCACTCATGGTGAGTTTTAGAGCTCCTCACCCTGAGGTCAGGGTCAACTGCATCCTTTCAACCCCACCAGAGAGGCGCTCCCCAAAGCCCTCCTCCACACACTGTGCCCTCTACCCTGTCTGGGCCCTGGTGAGGGGGGCAGGCATATTTTCTGGAAGGGCACAGCACCTGTAGGTCTCTTCTTTCCCTGTTGTAGGAAGAAGACAGTCTCCTGACTACCAGAAGACATCAGGATTGTGAAAAGTGTTTAGAAATCTACCTTTGGGGCTGGGTATGGTGGCTTATGTCTATAATCCCAGTACTGGGGAGGCTGAGGCAGGAGGAACATTCTGAGTTTGAGGCCAGCTCAGACTACATGATGAATTTTAGGCTAGCCTGGGCTACAGAATAAGATGTTGCCTCAAAAAAACAAAAAGAAAAGAAACAATCAGAAAACAACAAAGGCTTCTACCTTCGGTCATCCCTCTTGGGTACTGGCTTCCAGTGGTCATAATTTGTCTCAACTCGGAACCACCTACAACAGAGTACAACATCTTATCTTACCCAAGGTCATTCAGAATAGTAAATTGTAAAAGAATTCATGCTTTAGCAAATAAAATACCAATTTGATGAAGACACTTCAGTTCTACTCACGCTCCATTCAAGGGATCAAGAGGCCAGATATCTGCTGGGCCACCTCTGTTCCTGGTGATGACAACTCCCTCCTGGGGTGCTGTACCACCAACAATATAATAAACATCAGCAATGAGGGGAGTCTTGGCCAGTTTGTAAACAGCTGCTTCAAAGTCTTCTGAGTCACTCAAGGTCTGAACAAAAAGACAAACCATCATTGGCAACACTGTCCAAGGGAACCACCCACACTGAAGGACAAACAGTCCAAAGAACATTCTCCTTCTATTAAGCCATAGCTGGATCCTACTGTCATGGGGGCTCCTGAGAGGGAAAAAAACCTCAGCTTTGGCAGGGATTTTTCCAGAAAAGCTAGAACTGTCACCAAGTCCTAGGCTGACCTCACCAAACACAGGCTGCATGATTTTCAGACAGTCTGTGTTTCTCGATTCATTTGTTCTCCGCACAGCCCCTTCTTGAATACTGCTTTGTGATAGGCACTGTGCGAAGTAGGGTTATCACCTGGTTCTTAACCACCACAAACTTCCCAAGAAGACAGAGGCAATGATGACACCAGGTAAGTGTTAGGAATGATGGAAGTCACGGCAGGGGAGCTATCCTCTTCTAGGATACCAGCACAAGAGCCAAGTGCCAAGGTACAGACGGGAGCTAGACTGTGGAAATGGTGGCTGCAGGGTGTGGAATAAGCATGCAACTCAGTGGGTCAGTGGACTCAACTGGCAAAGGCTTGGGCTGAAAGAACGGGAAGCTTGACTGAAGTCTAGAAGACCTGCAAAGGTTTGAGATGTGGACAGTGAAGTGGTCGCCTTCTAACTCCTCACTTCCACTTGTGCTCCTTCACCCAGCTGATCTGCTCAAGAACTCTGCATCAGGGACCTGACCTGCCTCTCCTCCTTCACAGTCGCCACTTTCTGAAAGTTCATTTTATACTCACCATCCTAAGATGCACTGTGAAGGGTGGGGATGGGGAAGTGGTCAAGAAACAACAATTCAAAACTGGTGTCAGCAAAGGCTCCATCATGTGGCCCACAAGCCACAAGGCCACAGCAAGGGTTTGTTATTTCCCTTGGCCATATACATATGAACTATTTTTATTTATTTTATATTACTTACATTTAGTGTGTGTGTGTGTGTGTGTGTGTGTGTGTGCGTGCACAGATGTGGGTGCCATGGTGTACACATAGAAGTCAGAGGACAACTTACAGGAGCAGGTCCTCTGCTTCCATCATGTGGGTTCTAGGAACTGAATTCAGGTTATGAGGTTTGGCAGCAAGCACCTTTACCCACTGAGCCATCTCACCAGCCCTTGAGTGAGATATTTTGACTTCACTTGGTTTGTTCAGAACTTAGTGGAATTATAAAGCGAGGTTGTAGGAGTAATAGAATATTTGTCGAATTATATTGTCTATACCAATTATTGTAAAAAAAAATTCATTGTCTCTCACAAAGTTCTGTGAGAACAAGCAAAAGAACATTAATAAGAAACTGGGAAGGTGTGATGACTAATTTCATCTGGGTGATAGTCAGGGAAGACAAGTGCCTGTGTGTCTCAGGAGATGGAGGGGAATGGTGTAAGTGCCAATGGGCACAGGGCTTCCTTCCGGAAAATGGAAATACTGTAAACTTGGCTGTGATGACAGCTACACAATCTGTGGCCACATGGAAACCCAGTTAGCTTTTCACTTAAAATAAGAGTTACTGGGGCTGGAGAGATGGCTCAACCGTTAAGAGCACTGACTGCTCTTGCTGAGAACCTGGGTTCAGTTCCCAGCACTCATATGGCAGCTAACAACTGTCTGTAACTCCATTTCCAGGGAATCTGATGCCCTCTTTTGATCTCTGTATTGTATGACATGGGTGCATGTATACACATGCAGGTAATACACTCATTAGATAAAACAAAAATAATATTATTTTAAAAATAATAAGTAATTATTATTTTGTTTCTCCTCAAATAATAAGATCCAGCCATTCCAATCTTAGGTGTTTCCCTCACTAAAATGGAATGAATCACATACCCTCACAAGAAGATTTATACAAGAATTCCCATAACATCCTTTGATACCCCTGACTGGAAACACTCTAATGGCTATCAATAGACAAATAGATGATTTGTGGCATATTCATACAACTGGATATTCTTCAGGAATGAAATGGAATGTGATGGGGTTGTGGGTGGCTCAGTAGGAGAGCACTTGTCCAGCATGTGTGAGGTGGTGGGTTTGATCCCCAGCACTGCCCGAGGGGTAAAAACAATGGAACGAGCTAGTGATATGAACAACACAGCTGAGCATGACAGACATGATGAGTGAAAGGCAGAGCCCACAGTCCATGTTTCATGTAAAGGAATTCTACTACAGGCATGACTTTCTGATGGCGACAGATGTCAAAGAATAGCAACCTGGGGCAGTCAGGTAGTGGGGTGGAGTGGGGCAGGAGTTGGAATTGAGTGGAAAGAAACAGCGGGGAAAATCCCATGGACTTGGAAATCTTCTGTACCTTGATTAGTTGGAGACTATATGGATAACTGGGTTTGCACAACTGCCAAAAGATAATAAACTTTTTTTTTTGGTCTTTTTGAGACAGGGTCTCCCTGTAGCCCCAGCTGGCCTGACTCACTATGTAGACCAGGCTGGCCTCGAACTCACAGAGATCCGCCTGCCTCTGCCTCCAAGTGCTGGGATTAAAGGCATGTACCACCGTGCCTAGCTCAAGACATTAAACTCTTAAGATCTGTGCATTTTACTATGTGTAAATTTAAAGGTAATTTTTTTTCATTAAACACAGCTTTACTACACATTATTATTTATTTTTCCTCAATTAAATAAGATTCAGCCATTCCAATCTTAGGTGTTTCCATCACTGAAATGGATGAAATGGACACATACCCTCACAAGAAGATTTATACAAGAATTCCCACATCATCCTTTAATACCTCTGACTGGAACACTAACTGTTTCTCATAGATCAAGGTCAAGTTCCTAAGATAACCTTAGCCCCTTTAAAGACTGAGAAAACTCAAGTCTGTTAAAAGAGCTAGCACCTGCAGGTAAATGGATGGAACTAGAAACTGTTATACTAAGTGAAGTAACACAGACTCAGAAAAACAAAAGCCATATGTTCTGCCTCATTTGTGGATCCTAGCACCAAATCCTTATATGTAAGTATATACCCTGATGTAACTGCAGGAACCAGGAAAATGGAAGAGAACCAGGGAGGTAAAGGAAAAGAAGGAACCCAAGCAAGAAGAACAGTAGGGGACAGGTGTTACTAAGGGAGGAATGCGTAAAATGGGGGTAGTTAAATGGGAGGGGGAGAGGAAGGACTATACAAGGAACTATGGAGGAAGAAGGAACTCAAGAGAGGTAGGACCATAGCAGACAGGATGGGGAAAATGGGAACAGCCTAAATGGGGATAGCGGGGAGGGAGGATAAGACAGAGAGAGAGAGAGAGAGAGAGAGAGAGAGAGAGAGAGAGAGAGAGAGAGAGAGAGAGAGAGAGAGAGAGAGAGAGAGAGAGAGAGAGAGAGAGAGAGAGAGAGAGAGAGGAGATAAATAGTGCCTAGCTAGTATAAAAAAGAGGGAATTTTATTAGTCCAAAAACCTACTGAAAAATTACACATACAATATCTCTAAGTGAGTATATGTGTATAGCTAAAGGCTAGATAACAAGAGACAGTACCAGCTAGGAGAAACCTTCCTTTGAGTTGTTGGCCAGGGTAGTTCAAGAGACTTCCAAAATTACACAGGCTATTGCCATAGCCCTTGATTGCCTCCCAGAGCTTGAAGGTAAGACCCTATTGCTGAAGACAGGACATATTCCAGACATAGGATTTGGAGCAATGGAGCAGGAAATGACCTGGAAGCCACCTCCCCTGAAGACTAGCTCTCATAGCTTTGGAGAGCTCTATGCAAGCTGGTAAGGGAGAACATCAATTGGTGGTCCAACCTCAGCTTCAAGGCCTAAAAACCATTATCAATGACCAGCACAGCAAACGACACTGGTGTTGTAGTGGCACTTTTACCTTGGGGGTAATTAATCAACAGCTACCTAATTGGACTTAAAGCCCACTCAATGGGAGAAAACTTATGTGTGGTACTGTAAACCTAGGCAAATACACATAGCTGGAGAAGTCACAGATCTTAAAGACAACCCCAAGGCTGTCACATTCCTAGACAAATATAATTTCTTACTATGTGCAAAATATGGATCCTTAAATTTACAGACAAGTATCCCAGTCCCCCTCATAAAAGAAGCTTCTTTTTCAACAGACAGAGATTATTAGTTCCACAACTGGTCACATACATATTGTCTGAATTGCCCAAGCCTAATTGGCACATCTAGAATGCAACCTCTGTACACCTAAGGCTCATGGGCCACAGAACAAGGGATGAAGAGAACACAAATGCATTTTCAATTCTTATCAATGAAGCTCTCCCTTGCAACAGAGGGCCAGGAAAACAAAAGGTCACAAATGGCCAAAACATAGAGAATAAAAGTCTGCAGAGTGTGGGTCCTTGGACAGAACTCCAATATTAAAATCCATCCACCCAGGGCTCAGGGCTCATTGTGGAAGAGGGGGCAGAAAGATTGTAAGAGCCAGGGAGGAGATGCATGACCATAAGGAAAGAAATAGAGTCCAGCTCCTGGGAACCTGCTCATATGATTGTATGGCAATAGTGTCAGCATACACAAGTTCCATGCAAAACTCTAGATAAGCTGACTAAACCTCAGTGGATGAACTTGCACTGAGGGATGTCTAGGGACACTAACTAGACATGATAGGCCTTAACATAAATGACAGAATGTATGAATTCGAGTGGAGGGGACTATAGGATGGGGGTCAATGGAGAAAGGGGGTATAAAGATGATTAAGATGCTCTGTATGCCAACCCTTCCCCCATAATTTAGGAGCATGGTGGCACATGCCTTGAATCCCAGCACTTGGGAGGCAGAAGCAGGTGGATCTCTTTGGGTCTGAGGCCAGCCTGGTCTACATAGCAAGTTCCAGGTCAGTTGGGGCTATAAAAAAAAAAACAAAAAAACAACAACAACAAAAAAAACGGCTAGCACCTGAAAATAGAGCCCAGCTTCATTCAGCAAGTCAGATAGCAGCCCTGGCAGGCTTCACAGGCACCTAACCCTTTTTGCTGTTTGTAGCTTGTCTCTTCCCTGAGTGTTTAAGTCTCTATTTACCCGCTTCCTTCTTTATTCTTTGAAATACCCAGATCCATCTGCACAAATCAGAGCTGAGCTCAGCTCACACTGGACTCTTTTTTATTTAATTTTTACAAAAACTTTATTGAGAATTTCATACATGCATATAAGGTGCTTTGATCAAATCCATGCCCACTCCCTCTCCTCCAACATTCCCCCCTCTGAAGAGGTAACCCTAAAATCTTTTAAGGATTAGATACAAGCTCCCTAATACCTCTGACAATTTTGGCCTTTGGAACAGAGTATGTTGCTAACAGGCCCAAGGACATTTTGACTTTTAGTCAAGAAACTGGCTACATTTATTTTTATTTTATGTGTACAAGTGTATTGCCTGCATGTATGTGAGTGCATCCATGTTGTGCAATGCCTCAGAGATCAGAAGAGGTTATCAGATTCCCCTGGAACTGGAATTAATGGATGGTTCTTAACTGCCATGTGGGTGCTGGGAATTGAACCTCTGCAAGAGTAGTCCGTGCTCTTAACCGCTGAGCCATCCTTCAGCTCCCACACTGGACTCTTGTCCTGATTGCAGCAACACGTTACCAATTAAAACCTTTCTACATTTCTTTGCTACTTTGAACTCATACCCAGCTCTGTTTATCATTGATGTTTACTATTAAAAGGCATACACATTTTGCAAACAATTAGATGCTTATTACATCTAGAACATCTTCCATTAAAGCAATATTGTTAAATGGCATAGAGCCTTGCAATGTGGTCATTCAGGTTTAGATGAGGCTTGGGTAAGGTGGACTTAATGCTAGATCTACTCACCTTGCGGACAAGCCAGCTGATCAGAAAGTGTCCCTGAGAAAGGGCAGCGATGGCATTCTCCCACCACCAGCCTTTATCTGCAGGGGTGGAGACGGAACAGTAAGCTTGTGGGCCGAGCACGTTTAAAAAATACTTTATTATTTTTATGTTATGTGTATGAGTGTATTGTCTGTATGTGTGTAACTGCACCCGTGCCATGCAATGCCCACAGAGGTCAGAAGAGGATGTCAGATCTGGAACTGGAGTTAGGATGGTTGTTAGCCACCATGTGGTGCTGGGAATTGAACCCCAGTCCTCTGCAAGAGCAGCCAGTGCTCTTAACTGCTGACCCATCTCTCCAGCCTCCCCCAATTTACATTTTTTTAAAATAATTTTTTAATTATAAAAGTTTGTATCACATTTACTTAGTGAGTAAGTGGGACGGGTGCATGAATGTACATAGAGGTCAGAGAACTTTCAGGAGTCCATTCTTTACTTCCACCATGTGGGTCTCAGGGATCAAACTCAGATCATCAGGCTTAACAGCAAACATCTTTACCCACTGAGTCATCTCTTGTTTCTTTCTCATATTATCAGCTAGTGGGGGAGAAAATTTGGTTAATGAGGAATGATTTTAGTAGCATCCTGATTTCAAAAATTAAGATTGAATATTTTTAAGTTATTTATTTTGCATGTGTGTGTGTGTGTGTGTGTGAGAGAGAGAGAGAGAGAGAGAGAGAGAGAGAGAGAGAGAGAGAGAATGTGAGTGAACATGTGCCATGGTGTGTGTGCAGAGGTCAGAGAACAACTTAAGGGAGTGGGTTCTCTCCTTCCACCGTGAGAGTCCTAGGATTAAACTCAGGTCATCAGGCTTGGTAACAAGAGCCTTTTATTGGCTGAGCCATTTGCTGGCACTAACAACCATAAAAATATCATATACATATGTGAGTGTATACATATATAAAATGAATATGGATATTTTTAAAGTAAGCAAAAATATGCATTCACTGACTTTTTTATATTTATTATTTTTATTTTATGTGTATGATTATATTGCCTGCATGTAGGTGCAGGTGCACCTGTGCCATGCAGTGCCCATGGAGACCAGAAGAGGGAGTTGGATCCCCTGGAACTGGAGTTACAGATGATTCTTAGTCGCTGTGTGGGTGCTGGAATTGAACTTGGGTCCTCTGCAAGAGCAGCCAGTGCTCTTAACCGCTAAGCCATCTCACTACCACCTCCCTCCTTTATTTTGAGACAGGGTCTTCCTATATAGGTTGGCTGACTTACAACTTGAGATTCTCCCATCTCAGTGACTGAGTGTTGGGACAACAGATGTGTGCCACCATGCCCAGCTTCCATCAAGTTTTGAAAAGAGAATCTACACAATAATGATTATGCTAGAAGAAATTATTGTGCTAATTACTCAGGCAAAATACAATTATGTTCCTTTTAAGAAAAGCTGTTCAGTAAGTATTAGGAGGAATGTAGAGAACTTATATCTTTCTGACATATTTTTAATAAGTTTAAGTATGACAGTATTTCATTAAATTTGCATGTTGCAGACTTAGTTATTTTAAACTGTTCAGATCTGGGGTTCTAATAATCAGGTTACAATTTTATTGCAAACAATTTGATTCACAAAATGATGGAATCAAAGCCTGTCATTTTAAATAAATATTCACATTTGCAGACATCGTACTAAAAATTAGCATTGTCATGGGGCTGGAGAGATGGCTCAGCAGATAAAAGCACTTGCTACTCTTGAAGAGAACCTGGGTTCAATTCCCAGCACCATCATGGTAGCTAACAACTGTCCGTAACTCCAGTTCCAGGGGAATCCAACACCCTCTTCTGATGTCCATGGGCATTGCATAACACAGGTGCACTTATATGCATGCAGGCATTACACTAATACACATAAAATAATAAGGGGCTGGAGAGATGGCTCAGCGGTTAAGAACACTGGTTGTTCTTGCAGAAGACCTGGGTTCAAATCCCAGCACCCACATGGCAGCTAACAACTGTCCATAACTCCATTTCCAGGGGATCCGACAGCCTCTTCTGTCCTCTGCAGGCATCACATGACACGGGTGCAATACACGCATATACATAAAATAAAAATAATAAATAAAATATTTAAATATAATAAAATATTTTTTTAAAAAAAGACTTATTCATGGCTGATTTTGAGAAACGTTAAGTAAATACAGGATAAAAAGCTGACTACTCCCAGGCATGGTGGCGCAGGCCTTTGATCCCAGCACTTGGGAGGCAGAGGCAGGCAGATCTCTGTGAGTTCAAGGTAAACCTAGTCTACATAGTAAGTTCCAGAACAGCTGGGGCTACAGGGAGACCCTGTCTCAAAAAGACAAAAAAACAAAACAAAACAAAAAACTGACTACTGTGGTTGTGGATGTGGATATGTTGATACACACAAGCTGTGCATGCACACACACACAGATACATATACACAGTAGGTTCACATTTTCCTGGTTAGGTATAATGCTTAAAGATAAGAATAAACCTAGGGCTGGGTGTGGTGGTGCACACTTTTAATTCCAGCACTCCAGAGGCAGAGGCAGGGGGATCTCTGTGAGGCTGAGATCAGCCTGATCTATGTATTAAGTTCTAGGTCAGCCAGGGCTACATAGTGAGACCCTGTCTCAAAAAAAACAAAACCAAGACAAAACAAAGAAAGGAAGGAAGGAAAGGAAGAGAAAGGGGAAGGGGAAGGGAAAGAAGGAAGAAACAAAAATAACAGGGGCTGAAGAGGTGGCTCAGAGGTTAAGAGCACTGGCTGCTCCTGTAGAGGATCTGGGTTCAGTCCCCACTACCCACATGGCAGCTAACAACTGTCCATAACTCCAGTTACAGGGCATCTGATGCCCTCTGTTGGCTTCTATAGGCATTACAGTACATGAGTGTACTTGCATTCATGCAGACAAAATTCTCATACAAATAAATAAATAAATAAATAAATAAATCAATAAATAAATTAGAAAAATAAATACCTATCAGCTTAAGGAAAGGAGCATTTATGAAAGAAAGAAAGAAAGAAAGAAAGAAAGAAAGAAAGAAAGAAAGAAAACCTGTCCAGGGCTAGTGAGAAGGCTCATCGGATAAAGGCACCAGCAGTCAAATCTGATGACTTGAGTTTGATCCCCAAGACCCCACATGGTGGAAGGAGAGAATTGATTCCTTCCAAGCTGTCTTCTGACCTCCACATGTATGCCATAAAATGTGCATACACACATACACAAATAAATAAATGCAGTAAAAAAAAAATTTAAGAACAAACCTACCCAAGGAAACACTAATAACACAAAGACAAATCAGGGCCTCAGACAAGGGTTGCTTTGTGTGGAATCTTTGCTTTTCCTCAGCAGCAAAGCTCTGAGGACAGAGGCAAGAGCTTGCCTCTTTCTGGGCTTCCCACATACTGTGGAACTGAACATGGTTCCCCTGAACCTTGGGCCACAGCATAGAGTTGTCAGCAAATAGAGAAACTGGCTCAGGACCCAGGACATCAACTGAGAACCGCTTCTTCCATCTGCTAGCTGTCTTTTCATCTTGTTGCCGCAGTTTCCAACTCTGCATTGTGTATGGGGTCCCTAATATCAGCCTTGCCTGTCTCAATGAGAAAATGTGTATGAGCATGCATGGTAAACTCAACTGTTTCACAAATGTGGCATCATGGACCTCTGGATGCTGCCATAGCTCCCTCGGGGTCCTCTGACTCTATCTTACCAACATAATCCAATCTCTGCTGAACAAAGTAATAGTTAAAAAACATACATCAGGACCAGGCATGGGGGTGCTCTTGCAATTCCAGCATTCAGGAGGTTGATGCAGGATTCTGCTATCACACACACACACACACACACACACACAGAGGCACATGATCATATATGTATGATCTTTCACTTTCTGATCTAAAACTCTCCTATGGCTTTTATTCTGCTTAAAATCCAAACATTCACTGTGGCCCCGCACATGGCCGCAGCCTCTTCTGCATATCTAATGTCATTACTTCCCATTCCATGATGTAACTACATTAACTTTGCTTCATTTCTAGAATCCCCTTTTCCTTTGCTGAAAGACCACCACGATATGCCTGGTCTAGGGGAATCACATGGGTCAGGTCTTTTCTAACCCTTGACCTCTAGTAACTACCCCACCCTCCTGACCCACCTTCAGATCTTCCTTTGCTGCTTCCTTTGTAGCACTTACCACCACCTGAGATCATCATCATCGCTCACATGCCTATGTTCATCTGTCCTTGCTACAGTGGAAGTCCCTGTCCTTGGAGGTCTTCACCCACAGATGCTGCTGGGAAGTACAGGTTAGACCTCAACAAAGATTTGGTTGAAAGTGCTCAGAAGTGGGACTGGAGAGATGACTCAGCAGCTAAAAGCACTGGCTTCTCTTGCAGAGGACCCGAGTTTGGTTCCCAGGACCCACTTGGTGGCTAACAACTGTCTGAAACTTCAGTTCCAGGGGATCCAACTTCTGGTCTCTGAGGGGACTGCACACACTTAGTGCATTTACATTCATGCAGGTAAAACACTCATACAAATACACTTAAAATAAATAACTAAAAGGCAAAACAAAGAGCTCAGGAGCTTGTTTTCATTACCTCGTTCATCACCAGACACTGTAAACTTGTGGGGACTCTGCCCAGTCCATAATCCTACATAGCCAATGAAAGTGGTTCCTGTGAATGAAATCTGAAACCAAGAAAGAAGACACCATTTCACCATTCCAGCAAGATACACAGTGAAATCCTTATCTTTTCCACAATTTCCTGGATTTTTTTTTCCTTAGATGTTTCAACATAACAGAATGAAACTCTCTGAAACAGCATTCTGAGAACAAGATTTTTTGTGTGTGTATTTTAAGACAGGGTCTTCCTATAGCCCCAGCTGGTCTGGTACTCACTATGTAGAACAGGCTGGCTTCAATCTGCCTGCCTCTGCCTCCCGAGTGCTGGGACTAAAGGTGTGCACCATCATGCCTGGCTAAGAATAAGGGTTCTTAATGTTGGGGGGACCATGGACAGAACTCAGCAAGTGAAATGGATTGGGGGAAAGGTGCAGCTCTCTTCCTTCACCTCCACCTGAAACTATACTGCTAAGAAAATGAATGCACACAGTAGTGCAGCAGAAATGGCAGTGCCTGGGATTTCCTCAGGGGAAGCTGAAGGCATTTTCACATGCACAGTGCTGGCTGCAGATAACCTACGGAGTCGCTATGCTGAGGTCATGGTAGTTAGCAGACTCACTGCCAAGTCAGACTATTGAAGATTTTTTAAAGTATAATATTGAAGTGGCTATATTTCAGCAAAACTGATTTTTTTTATAACCCCTTGCATCCTGTGTGTCTATAAAACATTATTTGCCGAAAGGATCCACAAACAAAGAATTCCCATTCTGGAAGCAGCAAATAGGGTCTGATTTAGAAGCTTGCTTTAAGTTGATGACAAAAGACAAATGTTATATATTTATAAGGTCTGAGAGTCTAGGAGAAACAAGCATAACTGCTCAAATAATGATCACAGTTCAAACTGAAATATTTTGAAAGTTGTCCTACATACATCTTTCATTTACCCCAACAAATATCACCTTAAATTAAGATAACAAGCTTGTGTGAGATAGCGTTAGTGGTCAACTTGACACACCTGGTTAAAGGGAGTCTCAATTGAGTAATTATTTCCATAGGACCGGCCTGTGGCTGTGTCTGTGGGGCAGTTTCTTGATTCTTGAGTGATGTGGGAAGGCCCAGCCCACTGTGAGTGGTGCCACCCCTGGGCAGGTGGTACTGTGTTGTATAAAAAAACCAGACCAAACATGAGCCAGGGGAGCAAGCCAGTAAGCAGTTGTCCTCCATGGCCTGTGTTCCAGGTTCCTTCCCTGAGTTCCTGCCTTGACTTCCCTTGATGATGGACTGTACTTTTGTAAGCCAAATAAACCCTTTCCTCTCCAAGTTGTTTTTGGTTAGTGTTTTTATCAAAGCAATAAAAAGCTATCTAGAACAAAGCTCCAGTGATTGAAAGACACCACTGCTACTCCCAGAGGAAACCCAAACTCTAGCAACGATCTTCAATACCAGATTTTTAAATTTTTAATTAAATTTAGTTTTTATTTGTGCATATGTATGTGTCTTTGTCTTTTTAAAATATTTTATTTTATTTTTTTAAATTTTATGTGTATGAGTGTATTGCCTGCATGTAGGTAAGTGCACCTGTGTAGTGCAATGCCCATGGAGGACAGAAGAGGCCATCAGATCCCTGGGAACTGGAGTTACAGACAGTTGTTAGCTGCCATATGGATGCTGGGATTTGAACGCGGGTCTTCTGCAAGAACAACCAGTGTTCTTAACCGCTGAGCCATCTCTCCAGCCCCATATGTGTGTCTTTGTGTGAATATGCCCACGTGTGTGCAGTGTCTGCAAAGGCCAGAAGGGGGCATTGGATCCCCTGGAACTTGAGTTTGGGTGGTTGTGAGCCACCCATCATGGGTGCTGGGAACCAGACTTGAGTCCTATGCAAGAGCAGTACATGCTTTTACCCTCTAAGCCATCTCTCTAGCCCCAGATTTTATTTTTCAAGGGAGCATTTAAAACCCAGGCGACTGGAGAGATGGCTCAGTGGTTAAGAGCACTGACTGCTCTTGCAGAGGATCTGGGTTTGATTCCCAGTACCCACATGGCAGTTAACAATTGTCTGTAATTCCAGTTCCAGGGGGCCTGATGCACCCTTCTGACCTCCATGAACATTGCATGACACAGGTGTACTTACATGCATGCAGGCAATACACTCATACACATAAAACAAAAATAATAAAAAATAAAATATTTAAAACAACACGCAGTTGATACTGTTTATATGGGGTCTAACTCTAATATTTTTACATTTTGAGAAATTAAATAGACCTAGGTTGGTCTATTTAAAAATACTAAAAATATTAGTATTAAATTAGTAATCTTGTTCACTGAACTAGTATTCATCTTTGCTTCATCTGGTTGTGACCATAACTTACGGTGTTGAATTGGAAGGGACAAGGCAATGGCCTTAGTTTTCCAAGTGATCCTTTGCCCTTGACTTCCCAAGGGCTTCTGAAAGCCTCAACTCCATTCATGGCAGTGCAATGGGAGTGAATCTCCCTGCTACTAAAGGTCTTTTAGGGGCAGGAGAGATGGCTCAGTGGTTAAGAGCACCTGGTGCTCCTGAAAAGGACCTGGGTTCCATTCCAGCACCTACAGCGGGTAGCTCATAACTCCCTGGAACTCTAGTTCCATGGGATATGACACTCTTTTTTGCCTATTGAGGGCACCTGTGCACATGTGGTATACATACATACACTCAGGCCCACACAAATACACATAAAAGTTCTTTTTTAAAAAATGCTCCTTTAAATGTAATCATATGAAAGAAAAAACTGTAATTCTCCAGTCACCTCTTTCATTTGACACATCCTTACTCTTGAGGGGTGGAGGCAAAGTTAGGAAAATCAAAAGCAAATTGTACTTCCAATTATAGTACAGCCTTATGGGCTATAAAGTGTTTTTTTCCTGTCAGTTCTGCATTTACTCCTAAGTATACTTCTTAACTGTCTCTGCCAAGTCAGTTAATATCAACCCTTAGCAAGGAACTCTTACAGTCTAACTAAGGCTGAATAACAGCCCTAGAAAAAGTGAGTAGGGGGCTGAAGGCTGAGTTTTGATTCCATCTTACCACAGCTCCACCATGTAGTTTAGGCCAATGGGTCTCTGTAAAGCCTGGTCCCCTTACATGGAAATACCAATGTTAACTTGTGTGTTCCCCAGGGGTCCTGGTTCCTCCAAGGGCATTGCAGAGAACTGACTGTGGAGAGTTAGCCGAGGAAGGAGCTTGTGGCACCATCTTGGGTTGGAAGCGAGCGAGCGTGCGACAGGTGTGGGGAATGTCTAGCAGCCGGGCGTACTCAAGAACAGAATGGCCTGGCACTTATGGACCTGGGGCAAGACCACTGGCCCCTGAGGTGTGGGCAAAAGTAGCAGTGACTATGGGTGTGCCGGGGGAGCAATCTGGTATGGCAGGCTCTGAGCTGTGGTGCAGAGCTGGGCAGTGCGGAGCTGAGCGGTATGGAGCTAGGCATGGGTGTTCGTTTCTTTGTAAGTCACTCCCCACCCCTCCATGATGATAATAATAAATGTGCATAAAGATATGTTATATGGTTTCTCTGATAGCACAAGAGACCCAGAGAGAACACTGGTGACAACTTGTGTCTGCCTTGCAGAACTGGTTTCAGGTCCAAATGAGATCTTATATAGAACAATACTTTAAAATTCTGAATACTAAACAAGAATGAAAGGTGAATTATTTTCTGTATAACCTTTTGTTGTTGTTGTTCTTTTTGAGACAGGGTCTCTCTGTAGCCCCAGCTGGCCTGGAACTCTCTATGTAGGCCAGGCTGGCCTTGAACTCACAGGGATCTGCCTGCCTCTACCTAACAAGTACTGAGATTAAAAGTGTGTGCCACCATGCCTGGCTTTTTAAAAAGATTTTTAAGCAAATTTTTTAGTTGTATTGTGTGTTTGTGCATTTGAGTACACGTGCCTGCAGAAACCAGAAGAAGGCATTCAGTACCCTTAGAGCTGGAGTTACAAGCAGTTGTGAACCACCTGATGTGGATGCTGTGAACCAAACTCAGGGCCTCTGGAAGAATAGTATACATTCTTAACTGCTGAACTGTCTCTCCAGTCATGTACCTGTTATTAATTTAGCAAAACAACTTATTAGTCATGAGTCCTACAAACTGGATGGATTTGGAACTAACCACCTGAGCATTATAAATAAGGATCCCTCTTGGGAGCACCAGGATAAACAAAAGTTAATGAAGCAACAACCAACAACCATTAGGGTAAATTGCAGAGAGAACAGTTGAAATAACTTTATTTTCACTACATTTATTCCTTTGACTACTTATAAGACTATTTCCTCAGTATAGAACAGAGAAAAGCATGAAGTAGCAAATTAAAATAATTACTGTCACTCAATAATATTCTAGCTGATTTCCTTCAATAATTGATTATGGGGGGCTCAAGAGATGGCCCAGTGTTTAAGAGTGCTTCCTGCTCTCGCAAAGGACCCAAGTTCAGTTCTCAGCACCCACATAGTGGCTAACAACTGCTTGTAACACAGTTCCAGGGGACCGCATGCCCTCTTCTAGCCTCCACAGGCTCCTGCACACACATGGTGCACATAAACGCACTCAAGCACACACACATACATATAAAAATAATAAAATAAATCTTTAAAAACAGCATTGACTTTTTATATTACTGTTACCACTTAAAATTGATTTTTGAAGTAAATCTTCATCTAGACAACAAGTTATTAATAATGATAAAGAATGAAATTGGGAGCCAGGCATGGTGGCACACACCTTTAATTCTAGCACTCAGGAGGCAGAGGCAGAGGCAGGCAGATCTCTGTGAGTTCAAGGCCAGCCTGGTCTATATAATGACGTAGTGAGTTCCAGGCCAGCTGGGGCTACAGGACGACCATGTCTCAAAATGACTAAAAAAAATAAGAAAGAAAAGAAAAGAAAAATAATTGGGGATTTTTTTTTTAATTTGGAAAAAAGAAACTCACTACATATTTCTGTACTGTCTGAATCTATTAGGAGAAAAAGGTTTTCTTTGCAAAATCAGGTGACCAAATGAGTATGTAGTAAAAAGCATTGTCAATAGTTCTGAATCAATGCTAAATTCAAAGAGAATAAAGACCTTGTCCTTAAGGCCAAAATATGACTTTCCACATTCTATTCTGTTGCATAGCAACAGTACACTTTGTATATTCAATCAACATTGATAAATGCTACTTTTGAGACATTTCCAGCCATGTGACAATAGTAAATATTAGATTATAGTATTAAAGGGACCATGCTGAAAACAAAATACCTTTGTACAGATCAGCCTGAGAGTGGGTGGGTAAATCATATTGTAGAGTGAAGGTCCACCTAGGATTTGGCCACTGTTTATCCAGACCTACAATGTGTTTTACATAGAGGACTTCACTCAACCTTAATGGCTATTTCAGTAAAGTAGTTGCTAACTTCTCTGAGCTGGAGCCTGCAAAACAGGATTGAACAATTCTCCAAGTTCTCAATGAAAGTGACAGATACAAGGTGCAAACCTAGAACTTCCCAACCCTCAAGCTGGTGTTCTTCACCCTGTGCAGCCCCTCCCTATTCTAGAAACTGCCCCAATAAGGGAGAGCAGAGGAAGGAGCTGGTTGTGCATACCAGATGGAAGATTAATCACACCCCAAAAATTTCCCTAAGGAAAACTGATCTCATGCCCCAAAACAACAAATGACTTGTCTTTCTACATATATAATTGACATAAACCTCTTCTGGTTTTGATTTTCACAAGTTGATTTTTAAAAAATACTTGTATGTATGGTGCTGGAGAGATGGCTCAGAGGTTGAGAGTACTGGCTGCTCTTGTAGAGGACCTGGGTTTGGTTCTCCACACCCACATGACAGCTAACAACCATTCATAACTCCAGTTCCAGGGGATCCAACACCCTCTTCTGGCCTCCACGGGCATTACATGCACATGATGTATTTACATACAGGCAAAATACTCATACACAAATTTTTTTTACAGCAGGGAATGGTGGTGCACACCTTTAATCTCAGCACTCAGGAGGCAGAGGCAGGTAGATCTCTGTGAAATCAAGGCCAGCCTGGTCTACACGGTGAGTTCTAGGCCAGCTGGGGCTACATGGTGACCCTGTCTCAAAAAGACCAAAAATAAACAAATAAGATGTTTTTAATTTTTTCAGTGTGTGTTCATGTGTGAGTACAGGTCTACATGTGCCATAGTGCACATGTGGAGGTCAGAGGACCGCTTCTGGGCGTCAGTCCTTGCCTTCTACCTTTTTTGAGGTAGGGTCTCTTGTTTACCACTGTGCATGCCAGGCCAGCTGGCTTCCCCCAGAGCTTCTAGGGATTTCCTTTGCCTCCCATCTCATCATAGGGGCACTGCAATCATAGACACCTGCTTCTACATCTGGCTTTATGTGGGTTGTAGGGATCAAACTCAGGTCCTCACTCTTGGGTAGCAAGCTCCTTACCTACCCACTGAGCCATCCCCTCAGCACTGGTTTGGGGATCTAATATTGACAAAGCACCTAAGTTAGCAGGCCATGGAACTGACTGCTAGAGTCAGAAACTCTTCTGAAGTTCTGCATCTTGTACCATACAGACTATACCTGTCCATTCTTTAGGAACTGTACATCCACCGTCAGCTTGCGTAAGATATTTCCAAAAGGATAGTCCAGATTCCGACCATGGTAAATGTGGCCCCTGGAGTCTTGGGCCACAATGCTGGTGCAGAACCTGAGAAAAGGGAAAAATCCAACATGAATGAAGGTGACAAGAACAATGAGTAGCCTTCTTTCTTCCTTATAACTGACATACATGCCATAACTCTTGTATAATATGGATCCACGATTCTAGCTGTAAAACACAACAGGCACAACTCATCTGTATTTCCTCAGTGTTACCAGACCCCAGCCCTTGGCACACATGAGGCTGTTACAAATACAGTGGGTGAAGATTCCATCTTCCACCATGCCCTGAGGGTACATGCAAGACATTCTAGACCTCTGAACTCTACCTATACCTCTGCTCAGTGGTACATAAACTATTAACACATTATTCAAAGCCAGCTCAAGCTCCCCCTCACCACGCTATGAAATTTTAGAATAAATACAATAGTATTAAAAGTCTTCGGGTTCCATAAATGCTTAATTTTGCTCCACTGAGAAAATTGGCAGCTCTTTAGGGCTTGGCACTGTCCCACTCAGAGATCCTTCCATGGAGCTAATAAGAGAAAAGGATCCCTTAAGAACTCCTGACTGGGCCAGGCATGGTGGCGCATGCCTTTAACTAGAGCACTTGGGAGGCAGAGGCAGGCAGATCTCTATGAATTCAAGGTCAGCCTGTTCTACATAGTGAGTTCTAGGTCAGCTGGGGCTATGCAGAGACCCTGTCTCAAAAAGAACTCCTAACTGGGGTTGGAGAGATAGTTCAGAAGTTAAGAGCATTTGCTGCTCTTGCAGAGGACCAGAGTTTGGTTCTCAGTATCCATGATGTGAGGTGCCTTACAACTACCCATAACTCCAGTTCCAGGGGATCCAATGGCCTCCTCTGGCTCTGAGGGCATCTGCATGCACATGCACATACACACAGAGAGACAGACAGACACATACACACACAAATAAAAATAAGAACTCCTAGCTGGAGAGAAGGCTTTTGAAGCAAAGAGAAGTTTTGTTTAAAAACGTTTTGATAACTATATTCTCTGAGAATATCTAATGTTAGGTAAAAAAAGATTCATACAAACTATGTCCAAATATACAAGAACATGTATGTATATTCACATTTAAATAAAGCTGAAAAAAATACCCCAAGTAATTGGTGGTCATTTCTTTTTCTTTTTTTCATTCTTTTATTTTTTATTTATTTATTTTTTTGGTGCTGGGGATGAAGGCCAGAGCTACTTGGTTTTTTCTTTAAAAACACAAATACGTAATGCTTATTTGAAATTCCAATTTATTACAAGTCCACCCTTTACAGGGGTGCTTTCTCCTTTAAGACAGTTAAAAAGTCATCATTAGGGCTGGAGAGATGGCTCAGTGGTTAATAGCAATGACTGCTTTTGCAGAGGACCTGGGTTTGATTCCCAACAGTGCTAACAACCATCTGTAACTCCAGTTCCAGGGGAATCTGACATCTTCTTTTGGCCTCCATGGGTGCACTTACACACATGCAGACAATACACTCATACACATAAAAATAAAGTAATAAATAAAATACTTTTTAAAAATTCAAAAAATGTCAACATTGACTCAGAGGCCTCTGCAGTGGGCTCATGAGCTTCTTACTAGAACACAGACCAGGGTAAGCAGGGGAGGTGGTGGCAGCTGTAACAATGGCGTTGAAGTGTCAGTGCTTACCCTAAGACTGGGAGAAGGGAAGGGAAGACTTCCTTCAACCACTGGAGTGGGGCAGAGGAGAAGGGCAAAGCTACATGCAGAGGTCAGGGAATGGCTTTCCCTCAGTCCTTGGAGTGGCAATCCCCTGGTGGACTTTTCCTTTAAATACAGGACAGTGGAGGGGCTCACACTGTCCAAATTCAAAGTTGACAGAAAAAGAAAATTAAACCCTTGGTTTATTTATTTTTTTAAATAAACCTTTCTGTAGTATTTTCTGTAACAAACATTACTTTCAAAATTAGGAAAAAAAACACTATTATCTTGTTTGGTTTGTTTAAACAAAGAAACTTGGTCAGGTTTTAATTCCTTCTAAGGCTTCTGATCTCAACTGCCATGGGTCATGTCAGGGTGGAGGGGTGGGTAACATGGGAAATGGTTAAAGTTTGCAGAATTGCTCTCAAAGATGATTTTTTTTCAAAATGGTGTCAGGGTGATCACAGTTGCCAATCACCAGATGTTTCAATGGGACCTAATGCACAAGCACAGGGGACAAGTGCTTTTAGAGAGGCACTGTGGGCACAGCAGACGCGTGTGCTGTTTGTTAGCAGCCTTGGAACTCACCAGTCACCAGACTCCCAGCAAGTGTCCCCTTTGAGGCTTGGTTTCCACATCACAAAACAGAAAATACAACCTTCCCAAGGGGCTGTGCTCATGAAGGGCCTGGGCCAGCAGGTTCAGTAGAGCACAGTTGCTATTCTCATGGTAGAGCATGGTTACTATTCTCATGCAACTGCCTCACTTCAGAGTGAGAAGAGCATTTCCTTTCTTTATGCTACTTGAATCCCATGGTGTTGCTTTTTTTGTTTTGTTTTGTTTTTGTCTTTTTGAGACAGGGTCTCCCTGTAGTCCCAGCTGACCTAAACTCACTATGTAGACCATTAGACAATTTAATAAATACCTTAATCTGAGATCCAAAAGTTAGAATTTTTTACTAGAGCTTTTGCTTTAATATACTTGAGTCAAGAACTCCAAAAGTGGGGCTGGAGAGATGGCTCAGTGGTTAAGAGCACTGGCTGCTCTTGGAGAGGACCCAGGTTCGATTCCCAGCATCCATATAATGGCTAACAACCATCTGTAATTCCAGTTCTAGGGCATCCAATGCCCTCTTCTGGCCTCCATGAGCATTCCACAACGTGGGTGCACTTACATCCATGCAGGTAAAACACTCATACACATAAAATAAAAATGAATAAAAAATTTTAAAAAAAGAACTCCAAATCATATGAGCTATGATTTTTTCTTTTCTTCATTTAGTAAGTCACATGCCTGAATAGGACAAAGTTGGAGGTAGGGGAAGGGGATGGTAAAACGAACAGTGCATTTGAAAAGCATTTGAATTTAGCAGGCCTAAATGAAATGGAGGCATTTCTCTGGGGGAAAAAAAGGCAGTTAAAATGCTTCTCAAGAACTTTATTCTCCCAAGGCATTGGGAAGTTGCCAGGTTCAATACAGTTTTGTTATCACATGTACTTTCCCTTGCCTTCATCTTTTGTTTAAAAACAGGGTCTCCCTATAACCCCAGCTGGCCCAGAACTGGCAATGTAGACCATTGAGGCCTTGAACTCCCAGAGATCCGCCTGCCTCTACCTCCCAAGTGCTGGGATTAAAGGCATAAGCCATCCACATCTGGCTCTATCCCTTCAAGTTAAGGCAGCCAGAATCTACAAGTATCTTCCAGATGTTGCTACATGAGGTAGCAAAATAACAAATCTTGCGGGGACGGGTGGAGCACACCTGTCATCCAAACACTGGGGAGGCTGAGGCAGCAGGATCAAGGGTGGGAGGCCAGCCTCACTACAGAACGAAACCCTGACTCAGAAAACAAACAAAATAATAATCTGAAAGGCAGAAATTTCAAGACCTGTTGCTGAGTCTATAAACATTTAAGGATCCTCCAGGAGGGCCCTGTGTTACTTAGAGGGCCCACATGAAGAAAAGTGTATTCTGAGTAGGGTTTATTTGCCGGGTGGGGGTGGGAGGTGAACTTGGACATGTGCATGTGCATGTGCATGTGGATGCCAGAAGAGGATGACAGAAGCTCCCTCTATCACTCTCCCTCTTATTTTAAATATTATTTATCATTTACTTATGTGTATGAGTGTTTTGCCTGCATGTTTGAAAGTGTACCCATCTTGTACAATGTCCATGGAGGTCAGAAGAGGGCATGAGAATCCCTGGAACTGGAGTTATGGACCATTGTTAGCTGCCAGTGGGTGCTGGGAACCAAACCTGGTCCTCTGCAAGAACAGCCAGAGCTCTTAACCTCTGAGCCCCTTGTATCATATTTTTTGAAACAGGATCTCTACTGAATCTGAAGCTCACTGTTTAGGGTAGGCTGGCTGGCTAGCACACTCCAGAGAGCCTCCCACTTCCTGTCACCCCTCAAGTGCTGGGGTACCAGGTACTTCTGCTTTCAGAGCACTCTACTGAGCATTTCCCCTCTCCTTGAGCAATTTAGAAAGTGGGATGTGAGCTGGATGTGGTGGTGTCCTCCTTTAGTCCCAGCACTTGGGAGGCAGAGGCAGGCGGATCTTTGGGAGTTTCAGGCCTGCCTGGTCTACATAGAGAGTTCCAGGCCAGCTGGAACTACAGGGAGACCCTGTCTCAAAAACACCAAAAATAATAATAATAATAATAATAATAATAATAATAAATAAATAAATAAAAATAAAGAAAGTGGGATGTTACCTGGATAGATGGCCAGAGAAAAGTGAGCTTTGGGGAAAGAGAGAGTTCAGTGCTGAGTCCAGAGAAGCTGCTTCCTTTTGGAAGCCCAAGATCTGCTGTTGGGAATTCTCTCAGATGTCAGAGGACAGCTGATTGCTGAGCAAACACAGCTCCTCCCACTCATCCTAGGTGTCAGGAGTCTCTGACTGGTGACATTAATTGGTCTTAATCCACCCTAGCTTGGGGCACTTACGCGGAGGACTCATAGGCCAGGTTGACCAAGATACCATCCACCAGGCTGATGTTCAGGAAGTCGCACATGCCGCGGATCTCATCGGTGAAGGGCTGGGGCAGAAAGCTCTCCACCTCCGTCACCACCTTTCCGATCAACTCGAGGACCCACTGGGGGACTCTATTGCTAGAACCAGCGCACAGGAGAGAGGACAGTTAAGAGCCGACAGCCCGGGGCGGGGACACTCCATCCTCAGGGTCCAGATGGGGAAAAGAACCAGGCGCGGCGGTAATCCCAGCTACTGGGAAGCTGAGGCAGGAGGACAAGTTCATTGCTAACCTAAACTACTAGTGAGACTTTCCAAAATAGAATGTTAAAGGCCTAATACAGGCCTCACCTCCAGGGCCAAACACCCAGGAGGCAAGCGAGGCTGCATCTCTACTTCGCTGACTAGGTGATAACTTGCGTGTCACCCTGACCCGGAAAACGTCTCCGCGACAGGCGCGCCACCCGAGACGTCGGACTTGAGCGGAAAGCTGGGTCACCCACTCCTGGGAGCTGCCCAGAGCAGCAGCGAGTGCCAAAGGGGGCGGGGCGGTGGGGGTGGGGGGCGCAGATCCGCCAGTTCCGCAGCTGGGGTCCGGGGCCGTTCAGCGCGCTCACCCGATGACCTGCGCCACCGCGGCGCGCAAGAAGGCCGGGTCGTAGTGGCGCAGCATCGGCAGCCAGCGCAGCTCGGGGGCAGCGTCCAAGCTCAAGTTGAAGAGCGGCGGAGCCCCGGGGGCGGCGGCCGACAGCCCGGGCCCCGCCAGCAGCAGCAGCAGCAGCAGCATCGCCAGCGTCAGCGCCCGGTGCGCCCCGCGGCCCAGGGCTCCCGCCTCAGCCGCTCGGGCTCCGAAGGCTACAGCTCAGAGCTGAGCGCAGCCAGCGCCCAGGGAAGCTGAGGAGGTGGGGCGGACAGGGGCTGGAGGTGGGGTCTGCAGTAGATCCGCCCCACTCGGTCATCCGGAACCCAGAGGTGACAGTCTCCGCCTTCCCCGCCACTGGTCCCCGCCTCCAGTTCCAGATCCCCAAGGGCTCAGGTCAGGCCTGCTACTCACAACTGGAGGTCCCATCCCACCTATGTGGATCACGAATGTGAGCTGTGGGAGTCCAGGGCCTTAAAGCCATACCGTGGTAGAAAGGAATCCATCTCCCTATCCTATCTGATTTGCTCATTTTCACAAACGTCAAAAGATTTTATAAAGGGCAGGAGCTTTTTCTATTCAACAGTCTCACTTCTCCGTTTTTATTTTTGCTGAGTCCATCTCATGTATCAAGATAAGACAAACGACATTTTCTCCTAATTCATCCCCATTTTGCTGTTGTAGAATGTGAGTTTGGAGAGTCCAAGTCACCTGTCCAAAGCCACATGGCTGGCGAGCTTCTGCCTTGCTCTAAGTCAGGTTGTTTGAATCCAAAATCCATCTGAGTAATCTCCAACCTGAAGCTTCCTCATCTTCCCCAAACTGGAAGACTGAATCTGTAAGTCACTTTGGTAAGAGTAGAACATTCTTATTAGATAGCACAGTGTTCTATGGTCAAATAGAAAAAACTGGGGCTGGAGAGATGGCTCAGCAGTTAAGAACACTGACTGTTCTTGCAGACGATCTGGGTTTGAATCCCAGCACCCACATGGCAGCTAACAACTGTTGGTAACTCCAGTCCCAGGGGATCCAACAGCCTCTTCTGACCTCC